TGTTTATATGAACAGTTTTATTGAATCCTCATATTTAATTTTCAGTCCTTATCTTACTTGACACAGTATTTAACACCATCTCTCTCTCTCTCCTCCATGAGACATTTCCTTCTCTTGGCCACCACAGCCTCAGATTTGCTGGTTTTCCTCCTTCCCCTCTGGCTTCTCCTTATCAGTCTCCATGGCTGGTTCCCCCTTTTCTCCCAATCTCTAAACATCAGAGGGCCCTGTGGTTCAGTGCCCAGATTCTTCTCTTTTCTCTCCACACTTACTCATTTGGTGACTTTCTCCAGTCCCATGATGTTAAATACCATCCATGTCCCAATGGCTCCCAAAGTGGACCTATGCCCTGAATTCTGACCATGTATCCATCTCTGCTCAAGATTTCCAGTTGGTATCTAATGGCCATCTCTGATTTGAAATATCCACAGCTGACCTTCTGATGTTCCCCTCAAACCTGTTCCTCCGATTGGTGGGGAGGCTAGAGGAAACAAGTTTGCTCCAAATGGAGTTGACAGCAGCTCCGTCCTTCCAAAAACTTTAGAGTTCTCTCTGACTCCTCTCTTTCTCTCACATCCTATATCCAGTCCATAGGGGGCCTTAATGGTTCTCCCTTATATGATGAATCCCCCTTCTTCCTGCTTCCACTACTTTCACTTGGTTCACACCAACATCCTCTCTCACTTAGATGATGCAGTCACCTCCTAAATTAGTCTCTGTACTTCCACCTTCACCCTCCTCAGCCTCATCTCAAGACCGTAGCACAGTGTTTCTGTTTGTATATAAAGCAGATCTTGCAACTTCCCTGCCTAGAACCTGCCTGTGGCCCCATCTTACTCAGAGTAGAAGCCAAAGTTCTTCCTATGGTCCACAAGGCCTTGCTAGTCCTGGTTCCATCACCTGTTTCACAACAGTTCCTGCCAGGTACTCTGTCAACCATCCTGCTCCACTCAGTCCAAGCCCTTGGCTATCCTTGAACACTCTGACCTCACAGCCTTTGCATTTGCTGTTCTCTCCACCTGGAATGCTTGTCCACCAGACACCCCCTGACTCTCTCTCTTACTAGGTCTTTACACAAATGTTACCTTAATTTCCCCCAATGAAATCCCATGTGGCTTCCCTGGTGACACTCTCTAAAATGTCAAGCCTTTCCCTGACCTCCACACTTCATATCCATCTTCCCTGCTTTATTTTTACTGCTTAGTACTTATTACCATGTAACAAACTATCTATTTTATTTATTTATCTTACTTATTGTTGGTCTTCCAGCTAAATTACAAGCTTCATGAGGCAGGAACTATTGGTACGTTTTGCTAATCCCCGTCCCCAGGATTTGCAATAGTACCTGGCACATGGATAGGTTCAGCTTCACGCAACAAAAACCAATAGTGACATAAACAAGACAGAGGCTTTTTTTTTTTTTTAACATATATGCCATTCAACAGTGGAACCTAGGCCCCTATCTCTTTCTCCTTCAGCATTCTGACTGTGACTTCTACTATCATATTTGCCTCATGATCTCATTATTGATGCCAGAGCTCCAGCTGTCACACACACATTCCAGGAAGGAAGAAGAGAGGTAGGGCAAAAGGACTCTTACTTTTCGACTGAAGCTGTCTCCATTAAAAGTTTTCTTGTAGTCCAGGCATGGTGGCTCACTTCTGTAACCAGCACTTTGGGAGCCAAAGTGAACCAGAATCTCATGAGCCCAGGAGTTCAAGACCAGCCTGGGCAACATGGTGAAACCCCATCTCTACAAAAAATAAAAAAATCAGGAGGGCATGATGGCGCACGGTAGTCACAGCTACTCAGAAACTGAGGTGGGAAGATCACCTGAGCCCAGGGAGGTTGAGACTGCAGTGAGCCATGATCATGCCACTGCACTCCAGCCTAGGTGACAGAGTGAGATGAGATCCTGTCTCAAAAAAAAAAGAACTTTCTTGTAAGCCCCACTCAGCAACTTTGAATTACACCTCACCTCTATCAATGTTATCTCTAGGTACACTGGAGAGACTCTGCCAATATAAAGGTCAGTTGCAGGAGGGGAATGAGAGAAGAGATGAAAGGATACAGGCAGGCAACTTGGCATCTTTGCTTCAGTCCCTGTTTCTTATGTGTTTGTTTGTTTATATTTAAATGTGATTGTAAATCCTTCCAAAGCGTGCAGCATTTGTTTCCAGCATAATGCAAAAATCATGTTTGCTTAGATGTCTAAATTCTCTTCATTCAAACATGTTTTCATACAACTAATTTTGTTTTCTCAGTTGCCTGCCTTGTCAACTGAAAGAGCCTCTAAAGAGATTTGCCCCATCATCTCACTCTTCTAAGCTGATTAGAGACCACTCTAAATGTCACTGTGTGGTTTTGATAGTTTTGTCCTGTTTTTTATGTACTAGTGAAATGTCTCCCCTAAAAGATAGCGTCATTCAGCATTTAAAAATTTTTTCAGGCTGGGCACGGTGGCTCACACCTGTACTCCCAACACTTTTTGGTGGCCGAGGTGGGCAGAACACTTGAGGTCAGGAGTTCGAGACCAGCCTGGTCAACATGGTGAAACCCCATTTCTACTAAAAAATATATATATGAATTAGCCAGGCATGGTGGCAGAGCCTGTAATCCCAACTATTTGGGAGGCTGAGGCAGGAGAATCACTTGAACCCGGGAAGCAGAGGTCACAGTGACCCAAGATTGTGCCACTGTACTCCAGCCTAGGTGACAGAGTGAAGCTCTGTCTCAAAAAAATAAAAATAAAAATAAAAATTTTTTCAAACATGAAAATAAGCTTCAAATGAGGGCCCTCATTTAATATAAACACAGTTCATCAAAACATCATCAAATGATCTTGAGTCTCATTGTAACATGGTGCTATTTCATTTTGTTTTGTTTTATTTTATTATTTTATGAGCATTAACTAACCACAAAGTACAATTTGTCACTGAAAGTCTATGGATGATCAAAAAGAGCCATGGTCACCAATGAGACCCAAGTGAGCTCAATGGACAATGAACAAGCTAATGAGAACTGTTTATCCACATGAGAGCTTTCATCAGATTACTGAGTTAACCTTTATTTTACTCAACACTGAGCAGGGCCTGAGTCCATGGAGACTCAAGGCCTCTTCAAGGCTTACTTGAGTGCAATGTTTGTCCTTCTGGCCTCAGTGGGAAAGAACAGCTTCTAGATGTTTTCTGCCCTACACCAGTTGGTATCTCATTCCATGGCCTGGAGTATCTCAGTGTCGTTTCTCAAACCTGTGTCCAAATTACCTGGGTTTCTTACATAAAAGGCAAATTCCTGGGCCCCACAAAGAGGCAGGATCTCTGGACTGGAGTCCAGACATTTCCAACAAGCTTCCTATCTTTGGACAACTTTCTTCAGAAAGGGGACCCTATGGGGGGTGCCCATCCAGGATCTTGTTTCTCATCTGAAACTATCCCAGGCACTCCTAGGGCAAGAGCTGAAGCTACTCAGACCAAATCCAGAGCCACCTGGTGCCTCTGCAGGGACTCAGTGTCACCCACTAAAACTGCAAATGCTAAATTAGAGACCACTCCTCAGAGAGCAGAGGATCAGTTTCATATTCATTCTGTAAGTGTCTCCTGACATTGGCCTAAAGCGAAGTCCTGGGATGCAGATAATGGCCTCGAGTGCAGACCTGGAACTCTCATAGCCAAACAGTGAGGGCTGCTCCAAGCACTCAAACCATCTTTGTGCAGGTGATTGGAAACGAGATTGGACTACAAGAAAGACTTTTAATTGAGACAGCTTCAGTTGAAAAGTAGGTGTCCTTTTGCCCCACCTCTCTTCTTCCTTCCTGGAATGTGTGTGACAGCTGGAGCTCTGGCATCAATAATGAGATCATGAGGCAATTTTGATGGTAGAAGTCACAGTCAGGACGGTGAAGGAGAAAGAGATAGGGGCCTAGGTTCCACTGTTGAGTGGCATATATTTATGTTTAAAAAAAAAAAAAGCCTCTATCTTGTTTATGTCACTATTGGTTTCTGTTGCGTGAAGCTGAACCTATCCATGTGCCAGGTACTATTACTATTGCAAGTCCTGGGGATGGGGATGAGCAAAACGTACCAATAGTTCCTGCCTCATGAAGCTTGTAACTTAGCTGGAAGACCAACAATAAGTAAGATAAATAAATAAAATATATAGTTTGTTACATGGTAATAAGTACTAAGGAGTAAAAATAAAGCAGGGAAGGGGCTGGACAATACCCCGAGGTTTGCCTGAGATCAGTCACTTTTCCGAAGTTTTACCACTTAAATATGACCCTATAAGATCTTCAAAGTGCCCTTTTCTTTCCTTTTTCTTTTCTTCTTAAAAAAAAAAAGGAAAAAAAAAAAAGTTTTCCAGCCGGGCATGGTAACTCATGCCTGTCTGTAATCCCAGCACTTTGGGAGATCGAAATGGGTGGATCGCTTGAACCCAGGAGTTCGAGACCAGCCTGGGCAACATAGCGAAACCCCATCTCTATAAAAAATACAAGCCAGGTGTGGTGGTGCAGCCTGTGGTCCCAGCTACTCGGGAGGCTGAGGCTGGGGGAGGCCTGGGCTGGAGCCAGGTTGCAGTGAGTCAAGATCACATCACTGCACTCCAGCCTGGGCAATAGAGTGAGACCCTGTCTCAAAAAAATTTTAAAAAAAATTTTTTTTAAATAATAAAAATTTAGAAAAGCTTTTTTCAACCTTTCAAAAATTGTTTGACATTCGAGTATGGAAATCTTCTAACATACACTAAAGTAGAGGAAAGAGTAAAATGAACAGTAATATATCCATCACTCGGCCTCAACAATGATCAGCACTTTACTACCCTTGATTCACCTGAGGTTCTTTTTTTTTTTTTTTTTCCAGAATGAATACAGTCTAATTCCATTTATACAGGGTTCAAAACCAGTTAAAACTAAAAAAGTATATTGTAAAAATAACAGTGTATTGTTTAGGGAATCACTCATATGCGGTAAAACTATAAAAGAAGAGCAAGGGAACACTTACTGCGACAGTAAGAGTGGTCCACCCGGGCAGATGAAGAAGCCAGATGCAAGCAGGCAGGGGCACACAGGCGTCTTCTAAAGTTGTTTCCTAAAGGTTTATGGGTAAATGTGGTTCATTTTGTTCTTCAAATACTACATATACATTATACATTCTTCTGCATAATTATACATTTCATGGTAAAGCAAACGAAAAAACATACCAAATATCTACTCTATGGAAAGGCACTGTGGATGTTAAAATGACTCAGACTCCACCTCCACTCTGCTAAAATTACTTTCACTGAGGTCAAAGACTTCAATGTCACTAAAGGGAATGAACATTTTCAATTCTCATTCTCTTTAGTGTCTCAGCAGCATTCAACTCTGCTGACCATTCTTCTCCTTGAAACAGTATATTCCGTTGGTTTTCATAAAACCATATTCTCCTGACCATTCCTTCTCAGTCTCCTTCAAAGGCTTGTCTGCTACCACCTAAACCTTAAATACTGGAGCTCCCTAAGGTACATCCATGAAACCCCATTTTTTAATAAGCTATTTTTTCTCTCTAGACACTCACATCCATGCCTATGACTTCAATTATCATCCACACATCAAAGATCTAGATCTCCAGCTCAGATCTCTCCTCTGAGTGATGTATCACATTATCTTGTCAACACCTCTACTTGAATATTTCAAAATATCTAAATTTTGACCTGTTAAAAATGAAACTTGTGATTTCCCTGCAAAACACTTCTAGTATTCTTTCTCAGTGAATGGCACTGCCAGTCATCCTTGACAATTTCACTTGATAAAACAAATAGGCTTTTGTTTTTCTTTCTATAGACTAAAAGAACTCACTTTCTTTTGAAAATGAGGAAAGTAATTTTGGTGATGACTCTTAAGTTGAAATAAAATCTTTCCAAAAACAAACAAACAAATCAAAAATCCCACATCATCTGGTAATTTAGGTTTCCTGCATAGAGGGAGCTCAATAAAGTTAGTTCCTTTCCCTCTAAATTAAGAGTTTTTCCAAAACACAACAGTGATTTATTTTTCCTCTCTCCTTCTTTTAACCCCTTTATGTATGTCTTCTTGTCACTTCATTTTTACACACAATAGAGTATTAAATTGTTTCTGATTTTCTTCATTTCCTGTTTCTACTTTTTTCTTTATTTCCCTCATGGCCCAACTCTCTGTGACTGAATCAGAAGACGGTCCTTCAATCAACAAATATTTATTGAGCACTCTGGGATACAGCAATGAGCAAGATAAGGTTCCTGCTCTGATGTGTTTTATATCTGGAGTGGGGAACAAACAATTACAAAATAAATAGCATGAGCTAATTAAGGAATTAAAACTGAATGACATAGAGAATAACTGGGTGGCTATCTTAGATTGAGTGGTCAGGAAAGGCCTTTCTGAGGAGGTTATATTTAAATCTTTTTTAAAATTATTTTATTTTATTTTTCCATGAGTTATTGGGGTACAGGTGGTATTTGGTTACATGAGTAAGTTCTTCAGTGGTGATTTGTGAGATTTTGATGCACCCATCACCTGAGCAGTATACACTGCACCAAATTTGTAGTCTTTTATCCTTTGCCCCCATCCACTATTCCCCCAAGTCCCCAAAGTCCATTGCATCATTCTTATGCCATCTGATGTTCTTTTAATCACAACTCCATGCCTGGAATTGACTGGAATCTCAGAGGGCGGAAAGACCTTGGCGCACCGGTCATTGGTCACCTCTACTCACCTCTTGCCCCAACTCCTACCATAGAGCTTAGTAATCACGGCATCCCTGGGACCTCAGGAAAATGTAGAGAACACAAATTACAATAGGCTTCCAGAATCTTGGAAAAGTTCATTCACCTATGATGTCAGCAAGCAATGTGGATTCAAACTATGTGACACTTCATCCTAGGCAACAGGATGACCTGTGACAAAGGATGACATAGATTAAACCTTCATTCACAGTGTGCACCCAGCCTGGTTTCCCCCAGCTCTCATCACCATAACGACCAGCATTCTATAATAAGTATCCAGTCACCTAGAGACATGGGAAAACAACGCAGCAAATGTTGCTATGTTCCAATTATGAAGCCTTGGGTTCCAAGAGGTCTTACATGGCAATCTCGTCCTCTGCTTTTGGGTTCTTGATCTCATGACATGTAACACCCACCCATGAGCACAGAAAAATTCCCAGGCAGGTTTTTAGGTGCCCCTGACATCTTGCAAGAAAGATAGTACCCAGAGCCACATGGGATTTGCCGAATAATCAGCATCAAAAGAGAAAGAGAGTACCAAAATCACATAGGTCTTACAACCTCTGTAGAAGGAGGATAAGGAATCCTAGCTCTAACTCTTGGGATTATATTATTGTCATAAACTGAATAGAAAGTAGCCTATGGCTTTATTACCCCACAGAACATTAACCAGGTTTGCGTACAACTTAAAATGTTTATTTTGGTGTGCCTTTCCCAATTCTTCATATGCTCTCAGAACCAGCTTTCCATCTTACTGCTTCCCTCATTGACTAATGAATTAAATAAGCTCTGTGACTCATGTCCATCCTATTTTGTATGAGTTGTGTTTTTAACTTTTTTTACTTACACTTTAACATAAGAACTGTCCACTGGACCTGCTGCCACGGTAATGAATGAGCCTTGTCCTCAGCCCAGGTCCCCCAAGAGGATACCTTGTTGGCTGAGTCTAGCTCATAGGGTCCACCCCTGATTGTGCCGGACTGGGAAGAGGGGCGATCCAACCCCTTTAGCACTCATAGTGGGAAACAGGTGTAAATGCCCCCAAATAAGCCAGAATGCCATTAGAAAATGGGAAGAGTTACTAAACAATCCAAAATGATAAACGTCAGTGTTCCTTCCTTAGGCCTCTGGTTTACAGAGCGGGGCGCTAAGGCTCAGTCCTAGTCCAGCTGTGTCACAGTCAGCAGTTTGCTGCTCCTTGAGAGGCCGCAGAGAACCAGTGTGAGGGGGCTGGCCTTTGGGGGCATCACTGCTGGTGGGTGGCTTGGCCCCTCATCTAAGAGTGTTCCAGGAGCAAACCCACAGAAATGGGCATCAGACACTCATCCACCATTGTGTCAAGGATTTTGTGGGGTGGGGGGCCCATGATGTTTGTGTACATGGGTACATACTGTTGGGGCTCAGAAAATGATACCCCAAAGCATGGTGCTTTGGCATGCTGAGCACTTTGAATTGAAATAAATTGGAAGGCCTTAGAAGTTGCCCCAGAATCAAGGTCTCTGATCTTCCCTTGTGTCTCCCCACAAGCACAGGGACGGCTCTCTCTGAAGCTCCCTCACCTAACTGAGGGAAGTCCTTCCAAAAGAAACATAATTGCCTTCAATTTCCTGTCTGAAATCTCATTAACCAGTGAAGATTAATCACCAACGAAGAAGCTAAAGGTCACCACCACACTTAACTGGACAGATTTTTTTTTACTGTTCTGAGAGATGCTACCTGAGAGATTTTACAGTTGGCTTTCCATAGCCACAGGTTCCACATTCACAGATTCAACAACCATAGATTGAAAACCACAGATACAAAGGGTCAGCTGTACGTATTTTCTATCCACAGTTGGTTGAATCCGAGATGCAGAACCCACAGATACAGAGGGCCAACTGTACTACACCATTTTATATCTGGGACTTGAGCATCCAGTGACTATGGTATCTGCAGGGGGTCCTGGAGCCAATCCTCTGCAGATATGGAGGGCTGACTATATCTGCATAACAAGGCAATCTTTGCTCACAGTGCAGTTCCACCCTTTACCTTCTCATGACTTGTCACCACCACCCCCAGAGCCCAGAGGAACTTTGTTCCAGGTCATTGTCTGTCTTTCAGGCCTATTAATCTCCCCTAAAAATCATTTACTCTTTGTCTAAAAGTGCCTACACCCTCCGCTTTCCTCTTCTCTGTGAAGAGGGTATTTAAGCTTCAACCCTCTGGCCCTCCTTTGGGTTTTATACTTTGTATGGTTCCTGTGCACTTGTATGTTGATAAATTTGTTTACTTTTCTCCTGTCAATCTATTGTCAGTTTGTTTTACAGACTCAAATTCTCTAACTTTCAATGGGTAGAAGGACAGTTCCTCTTGCCCCACCAGTATATGAAGGCCAGCCTGCCCTCATTTTTAGGAAACATATGTCCCCAGACTAAAGAAGATCTCAGAATTGCTGAGACGCAGCTGTAATACTAGCTGTGTGATCACACAAGCAATCTAACTTTGCTGGGCCAAAAGTTCCTCAACTATAGAATGTGAATGCTAGCACCTACCTGAGAAGATCATTTCAAGGATGAGGAGAAGTGATTTTATACATGACAATGTCTGAATTTAGTAGCTGCTATTAGTTAAGTCTGCACTGAGCAGGAAAAAACACCACTAACAGTCTGCTTTTGGGGTCTTGGTCTCTTCATCTTCAGCAAGCTGACTGTCTTTTCCAGTGAGGTGACAGTTCTCTAGATAGTTGTGTCAAACTCAAAGATGCTGTCCTCCTCATCATCTCTAAACTCACTTAGCTGTCCACTCCAGCAAGCTGGCATATAATCCTGTGGCATTTGCGCAGCCCTAGATGCTCCTGGGAGAAGCAGTATCACAGTGTGAGCCATGTGGGCTCAGCAGCTAGGGAATAGGAAAGTGCAGAGAAGCCCTGGGCATTTGTGCCTGCCTGGCCAGGGCAGCCAGACCAGAGGTCACTTGGGCTGGGGCTGGACATGCATCTGAGTATAGTGAAGGGATGTAGTGTTCCCAGTATGGTGGCTGGAAGTAACCATAACAACTGTGCTTTTTGTCAGAGGCGTTTGAACCAGAGTGACTCCATCTTGAATAGGGAATGGGTAAAATAAGGCTGAGACCTACTGGGCTGCATTCCCAAAAGGTTAGACATTCTTAGTCACAGGATGAGATAGGAAGTTAGCACAAGAAACAGGTCACAAAGACCTTGTGATAAAACAGGATGTGGTAAAGAAGCCAGCCAAAACCAAGATGATGATGAAAGTGACCGCTGGTCATCCTCACTGCTCATTATACTCTAGTTATAATGCATTAGCCGCTAAAAGACATTCCCACTGGCACCATGACAGTTTACAAATGCCATGGCAACATGAGGAAGTTACCCTATATGATCTAAAAAGGGGAGGAACTCTCAGTTCTGGGAATTGCCTGCCTTTTCCTGGAAAAGTCATGAATAATCCACGCCTTGTTCAGCATATGATGAAGAAATAACTATAAGTATACTCCGTCGAACAGCCCACGCTGCTGCTCTGCCTATGGAGTAGCCATTCTTTATTCTTTTACTTTCTTAATAAACGTGCTTTCACTTTATTTCATGGACTCACCTCGAATTCCTTCTTGCACAAGGTCCAAGAACCCTCTCTTGGGGTCTGCGTTGGGACCCCTTCCCAGTAACATTTTCTCCCTGCTCCACCCCCACCTCCCCCAAGGACACCTTCCTCAGTGACCCCAGGCTGGACGAACAGCACCACTCCTTTAAAGGAACTCATCACTTCCTCTCCACTGTAGAGTTAAGTTGGAGCAAAGTCAGTACCTCCAAATGGTTTCTAAGAATTTGGGAAGGTTTTCGTTTTATTTTTATTTTATTTTTATTTTTTGAATTTGAAAAAAATCTTGTTAAATAGAAACTATGAATAGCGTGTGACTTCAAGGAAGAAGTCTGTGTGGCTGAAAAACTTTTCACAGTATACCCTTTTGCAGCTTTTGAATTTGAACCTTGAGAATGTATCTCCAATTTTAAAATAAAATGAAAATTAAAACCTCATTTAAAAACTTGTTAAAACTCAGCTGGGCACAGTGGCTCACTCCTGTAAGCCCAGCACTTTGGTAGGCTGAGGCCGGTGGATCACGAGGTCAGAAATTCAAGACCAGCCTGGCCAAGATGGTGAAACCCCATCTCTACTAAAAATACAAAAAAAATTAGCCAGGCGTGGTGGTGGGCGCCTGTAATCCCAGCTACTCGGGAGGCTGAGGCAGGTAATTACTTGAACCCAGGAAGTGGAGGTTGCAGTGAGCCAAGATCACACCACTGCACTCCAGCATGGGCGACAGAGCTAGACTCTGTCTCAAACAAACAAACAAAAAAAAAAACTTGTTAAAGCTCAGCTGGGCATGGTGGCTTATACCTGTAATCCCAGCATTTGAGGAGGCCAAGGTAGGTGGATCACTTGAGGCCAGGAGTTTGAGACCAGCCTAGGTAACATGGTAAAACCCTGTCTCTACTAAATATACAAAAAATTAGCCAGGCGTGGTGGTATGCACCTGCAGTCCCAGCTACTTGGGAGGCTGAGGTGTGAGGATCACCTGAGCTTGGGAAGTCAAGGCTGCGGCGAGCTGAGATTGCGCCACTGCACTCCAACCTGGACAACAGAGTGAGAACCTGTCTCAAGAAAACAAAAAAACAAAACGGAAAAACCTTATTAAGACTCAAGATTCTGTGGTTAATAAATGTTCCCACAAAGTATTTCAGTCTTGCCAGCGTCTACCAAGTCTATTGTTTTCTGAGCCTCTCTAACAGGCTCATGGATAGAACGGATTGGAAGATGTGCTGTAGAAATGGTAAACCAAGTGGTGCGCAGTGGATCATGCCAGTAATCCCAGCACTTTGGGAGGCTGAGGTGGGCGGATCACTTGAGGTAAGGAGGTCAAGACCAGCCTGACCAACATGGAGAAACCCCGTCTCTACTAAAACTACAAAATTAGCCGGGCGTGGTAGTGCACACCTGTAATCCCAGCTACTCGGGAGGCTGAGTCAGGAGAATCACTTGAACCTGGGAGGCAGAGGTCACAGTGAGCCGAGATGGCACCACTGCACTCCAGCCTGGGCAACAAGAGTGAAATTCCATCTCAAAAATTAAAAAATAAATAAATAAATAAATAAATAAATAATTAATTAATTAATAAAAAAAGAAAAGAAATTGTAAACCAAAAAGGATCTGAGACAGGTCTGAATCAGTGTAGAAGTTTATTTTGTCGAGGTTAAGG